TACAATTTCAAGGTCTTTTTTTGTAATTTCCCCAAACATTTAAGTTATGCCAAAATGATTGTAAATTGCTCCTTTTTTGGGGTACCAAAATTGCTCTTTAATAATACTCCTCTAATCCTTAATATAGGATCTAATTGTTGAGTTGATTTTGATCTTAAATATAAGACTCATTTCTCATATTGATCATTTTTTTTAAATTACCCCTATAGATATTCCCTCGACCATAATCAAGTAAAAAAGAGATTGAGGATATTAAGGAAGATAATTATGATATTTTAGAAAAAAACATATTATATTTCTTATAATTAACTAACTTACCTAACTTTATTAATTTAATCAAATTAGTTAAATAGATCTTATATTAAAGGTTAAAAGAGTACTATACTATTCACTAGAAACAAAATTTACAATCGTTTTGGGCTTTATATTAATGGGTTTCATTGTACAACAATACCCTCGAGCTGAGCAGTGATGGGATAACTGTAAGGCCTACAAAGAAGTGACCCAAAATGAGGTAGAAACACACCATTTTTGTCCAAAGGCTTCAAGTTCCAACAGCTCAAATCAGTACTATAGTTCAAAATAACAACATCGCGAATCAAAATTCAAACTGTTACTGAGAGGCTAAGAGTGTCTCGAGCAAAAATATCTGCAATAAAAAAAAAACACTTATGCCTAAAAAAACAAAAGAAAAACTCAATACTTCACCATATGAGACTCATTAATGTATGAGATTCGATTTGGATGTTCTTCTTTAAAGGGTTCAAGAAAGCATAAGAATGAAACTCATTCACATTTCCCTCCCATGAAAATCCTAAGCCATAAAATGCAAGTTATTCAGTTTCGGATCATTGGGACTCTTTTAGAGTCTGTTTAGTACGAGAGAAATGGAAGGAAAGATATTGAAGGAAAAATTTTAATGACTTTATTTTATAAAATTGAAGAAGTGGGGTTATCGAATTTTGATTAAAAAATGTAAGATAAAATAGTAATTAAAATTAATTAAAAAATTTAACCTCACTTCTTCAATTTTTTAAAACGAGCTCATTAAAAATTTTTCTCCCCCTCCTTTCCCTCCATTTCCCTCATACGGAACCCTAATGTTCGGAATTTGAACCAATCATGTGGAGTTGAAGGCATGTTTTCTTCTGTGCCGTATGTTCTCACTTCTTTGCCTCTGTTTTGTGTTGTTTTGTTTTGTGCTGCTCTGTTTTTTAAAGTGTAGCAGATAGACATAATAGGATTAATTTGTTGTTTATTTTAGGGGTAGGGGAGATATGCACCTTCATTAATGTAAAAATTATTTTACCAATTTTAATAGATTAACAAAACTAAATGAAATATTTTATTTTAATAAATGTAATTTGATCTCCCTAAAACACCCCTATATAATATGAAATTATAGTAGTATATTAGTTTATAAGTTAGATAAAGTAGATGAGAAAAATGATAAATATGATAGACAAAAGACAAAATCAATTAAGACCTTACATTTAAAACAAAAACTAATTTCTTAACTAGCTCTTATATTTAAGGCAAGAAAAATACAAAATTCTTCTCAACTCTAAACTATGTACATATAACTCTCTCTCTCTCTCTTCCTTTTTTTTTAATCAATTATAGATAACTCTCTTTACCTTTAAAATTTAATAATAAATTACTAAATTTTCAAGTATGTACAAATAACTCCAACTCAAACCTTGAATTATCTGCTAATAATTTCCTTACATGTTAAGTTATTTGCAAATAAATAATAGAAGAAAAAAAAGAGAAGAAGTTACCTACATAAATGTAAAAATCCAAAGAAGTTTACCGTAAAGTTTCAAATGTTCGAACAGCTACTTACAAGCAACACAAGGTTCACATACATTTTATATAAGCCATGTTTGCCATCACGATTGAAATCACTTATAAGCATGTTTCATGTAAGTCGAGACAAAACTTCTTTCACATATTTATTTCATATTCTGTAAATCACAATTGAAAAGCTATTTATAAGCTATTTCAAATGGGCCCATAATCTAGCCTAGTAGTATTATTTATTATATATTATCAAAATAATTTTAATTTTTACTTACTTTTCAATGTAAAAAATTATTCATTTTTAATGCTCTCTTCAGCAAAATATTATTTTAAAACATGTTTTTATAATTTAACCTTGATTTATAACTTTATATATACTTCTAAATATATTAAATATGTCAAATTACCAACCTATGTTGTTTAATTTTAGTAATATAATATTATATTATAAACATATGATCATTTCATTAATTAAATATACCCAAAGGTTTTCTTTATAACAATATTCCAAACATATATTGCATTGTCCCTATCAATTCTTAAAATAATATCTTCCCAACATAAGTTATAGCAAGCCCAATTCTATATGGGATCAGTTCTAACAAAAATTAAGTTACAAGAAAGGACTAAATTTTTAAGCATAAACTCTAATCCATTGACCCTAAGACCTTACCAATGGTCAAAAGGACCAAATGATTCAAACATTTGAGTAACATGACATAACTAGCAGAATTTAGAAGAAAAGTTGCAGAATCATGAAAAGAAAATTGCAGATTCGGAATTTAGTCATTTTCCCCTGAAATTTTAGCCCTTTGTTCTTTTTAACCTTTTTTTTAATGGGTCTTCGTTGGCAAACATCATTTTAGGTCCAATATGGATATGCATCAACATGTGTCCAGTCCAAATACTTTTTTGGTCTGAGTGTCCAGTTCCAATTGATACGGATCAATTATTGATAGAACTGTCTACGGGTCATTTTTGGTGGACGCTTTTCTTGGGTCCTTTTATCAAAACCTGACTACTTTTCGGCCGGGCCTACCATTTTATTCCAATGTAAGCTGTTTTGAGATAAATAATCCAGAAAGCATAATTTTGTCAGAAACTTTTTGTATTTTTTTTAAAAACATAAAAATTTATTATGTCCCAATTAAGGTAACTGTTGCTTTCGGCACTATTCATGGTCTTTTGTCAAAAAGCTATCGTAAAAAACCCGCCTCCAAAAACAATGCATTAAAATTCCTTGAATCTAGGGTTAAATTTAGTAATCAATTTTGGAGAAAATCATATTGAAAGTATTTATACTTTTTTTCCCCCAATTTGGCACCTATATATATTTTCCTCTTAATTAAGTTTTTAATTTTCCTCTATTAATATCGCTAATCCTTGTATAGAGAATAAAAATGCTGACAGAACAAAGTTACAGGAACTAATGTTGCTAGAAAAGTAAAATTAAGTAATTTAATTAAAAGAAAAAATGCATATGTACCAAATTAAAAATTAAAAGAAAGTATAGATACCTCCAATGTAATTTTTTTCCCTTTAATTTTGGATAATATTTATTAGGAAAAAGACATTCAAATACTCTCAAGAATACTAAATAACAAATGATGGTAGGTGTATTTAAAAATCCCAATTTAGACCCCAAGTACCATTTTAGAATTTTTAAATCTTATAAAATTATACAAATGCCTTTTACTATTTTTTTACTTTCTTTTTTTAATATTGCCACCTTAGTACTTCCAGCTGTCGGAGTTCTGACACCAGTAACCCTCCCGGTGGCTAGCTGCTGGAGTTCCGATGACTATTGTTTCTTATGTATTGACTACTCATTTTTAACTATTGACTACATTTGTTTTTAAAACTCTGATGACTATTCTTATTTAGCTATAGACTACTTTAGTATTGCGATTGACTACTTTCATTTTAAAAATTTTGGTAACTACTATTTTTTAGCTATTGAGCACTCTAGCTTCGCTATTGACTACTTTTATTTCAAAATTTCAAAAAATGTATTAAGTGTTGTTGGAAATCTAGCAACTACTTTTTATTTAGTTATTTTATTACTATCATGCAGTCGATAGCTATATAAAAGTAGTCATTGAAACTTTAAAAATAAAAATAATCAATAATTAAACTAGAATAGTCAATAGCTACATAAAAGTAGTCACCGAGAGCAATGACAGTGTTATCATTTCATAATATTTTAAAATTCTAAAATAATACCTGTGATTTGATTTGAGATTTTGAAACTCACCTACTCCCATTTGTCTTTTAGTATTTTTGAGGATATTTTAGTGTCTTTTTTCCTATTTATTAGGGTGTGTTTGCAATATGAGATGTTGTTATGACAAGATGTGCCTACGTTGTGTTGGTGTGAATGTTTTAGAATAGGTTTGGTATAGTTTTGATCTTGCTAAATGAATTTTCTTAGGACACGAAATTGTTTTGATGTTTTTTAAACTATATTTAAGTTTAATCTCATATTTTATAACAAAATTGGTATTCATGAAATCATAAATTAAAAAATCATTTGAAAAATGTTTTGGTTATTAAAATTTCTATTTTTTTTATGGAAACATATAATTTAATATTTTAATTGACTATAATTTCAAAAATATTGATTTGAATTTGCTTCTAAAACCATACTGAACTTTCAGTATATAGGATAGATATTTTCTACCCAATTTGCCTTTCAACGATCAAATTTTCCCACGAGAATGTGAATTTTTATTACATGTTTACATTTCTATTGCATTGTATTTGATATTATTGCAATCACAGCTTCTCATCAACACTACTTCCGGTCCTTAATAAATAAACTTGTTTAATTTTCAATTTCGTTTTTAATATAAAATTATAATCTATTTTATCTCTCATGTTTATTTATTTTTTTAAAGTAGTCCTTGTACTTTTATAGTAGTTGCATGTGGTAAATGATTCTACCAAAGCTACAACAAATGTATATGATTAATAAGGATGTTCTAGGAAAAATATTACTTATTTATTACAAATAACTAACCCAACAAACTTTTTTAATACGTTTAAATTAGTCAATTAGTTTTTATATTAAGTACGGCTCATAATATTTGCTATTGTCTCAAGAGAAAACTAATTTGGCGCGTTATAATTGAACAGTTTTGAATCGGGTCTTTGTGCCCCACCCCCTCCTACTGGGTTCTTGAACTTTTCGCTATTATATCCCTTGCTCCTTGCCATTAAACAATTAAAAATTTCGGTAACAAATCAGCGATGCGTCTGAAACATATCCCTCACCATCCAGCTTTACCCTGTTTGGAGCTTCTCAACGCTTGAGCCATATCTTGCCTAGGCAACACACAGCTAATCACCCACAAGAGTTTGCTAACAACACCCCCACCCTCTTCGATTCATACAACTCCAACTCGACCCTTCCACCCATCGTGAAGCTTAATTAGAGTACGCACACAAGAAAAAAGAGTAAAGCTGGATATAGATATAAAGATATAATATTATAATATTATATGTATATAGATACAGATATAAAGATATATATATTTATACATATATAGTGAAAACTCAAGGAGATATTATTAATTGATTCTTGAAGGTGTGGGAGATTGCAATAGTTGTCAGATTATTAGCAGTAGCTTCATGCTACTAGTGAGCAGTTCAGTTTACTCTGTTTTTCTATTACTAAAACAGGGGAGGCTCTCCTAATTCGTATATCATGCATAGATAATAATGGGAAGTCACGTTTTGATTTCACTCCTCACAAGCAGAGACGTTGGGATTGGGTCCTTCTTCTGTCTCTAATTAAGTTCCACCATGAGTGGAAGGGTTGAGGTGCAGTACCATGAACGGAAAAGGGTGGAGGTTTTGTCAGCAAACTTTTTGGGTGACTTGCATTGTGTCACCTGGGCAAAGAACGGCTCAGGCATTAAGAAACTCCAAACAAGGTCGGGGTGGATGGTGAGGGAAATGTTTCTTTTTTGTCTTTTTTTTGTTTTTTTGCCAGAAGGAGATGTTTCAGACATGTAGCACTGATTCATAATTGAAATTTTTAACAGTATTAACAACTATTTAACGGCAAGGGCCAAAAGATTTAACAATGGAAGCTTAAGGGCTCAATGAAAATTGGAAAAAAAAAGAAGAAGAAAAGAACTTAAAGACCACATTCAAAACTAATAAAAACACAAGCATCTCCAAATTAGTTTTCTCTTATCTTAATTAAGTAATTGTAATATTTAGAGCATTTAAAGTCCCTAAAACTAACTCAGCTTACGCGTCTACAAGACTAAAACTTGCGTTTGAAATGAACTTTAACTGTAAAAAAAATTTAATTAATCACAAAATATCATGAAGAGTTAAAGGGTAATTTTGTTCTTAAAATATTATTTTTAAGTAACACGAAGTGCACTACAATAATTTTGAATGCAATTTTGTTTTAAAAATATTTTCATAGTAACACTTCAATATCCTAGAATTTCATGTGTAAGATTGTGGCAAACATATAGTTTATGTTGCTCATTGGTACTAAAAAATATTCTTGCTTGGTCCTTAATATAGGACTTAATTGTTAAGTTGATTTTAGTTCTAAATATAAAACTTATTTCTCATATTTATCAGTTTTTTTTTCTAAATTATCCCTGTGGATACTCCCTTAACCATAATCAAATACAAGAGGAAGAAAAAATATTAAGAAAAATAATTATGGTGTTTTTAGAAAAAACATATTATATTTTTTATAATTAGCTAACTCACCTAACTTCTTTAATCTAATCAAATTAATTAAATAGGTCTTATATTAAAGACCAAAGGACTATTTTAAAAGTGAAACTACATCAAAAATTATTTTAAGATGTTGAGTGTTACTGAGATAATACTTTAAAAAATAATTAAAAAATTATTTTAGAATGCAAAGTATTATTAGCGAGCAAAACCTTAAAAAAAACAAAACTGGATACTTAAAAAAATAACATTGGATATTAGCTCTGTTTAAAATGAGCTCTATTGCTTTGTATCACCGTTTAGACAAGCACCCTGCAAAGTGCAAACTTATGGATTTGTATCGTAGACTTGCTTTCCTATTGCTCTGCATTTGGATACCGTGAGAGATGTCAAAGTCACACCCCAACTGATGTTAGTTCCTTCAACCAATGTGTAAGTGTTAAAGTGGCTTTTATCTCAGGAAGCCTGGCTTGTACTGCTTTGACATCACTTCTCTTCATTGTCTGGTTAATGGTGCTATTCATATGCTTTAACCACAAGAAAATAGCAGAAATAATAGGTGAAAATGTGGCTTTAAATTTGTATATGCGACTTGTGGAGGAGCACTCAAAGCAGAGCTTCAAGTTTGTATGAGCGATGGAGGAGAACTGAAAGCAGCAATGTCCTAGCAGTTAGCGGCCACCAGTTTAGATTTTCATCGAGTCTTACATTTTAGTATACATGGATTACAATTTGGAAGACAACGAATTGTGTTTTTGGTATGATTATATTTGTCATATGATGATATTGTGGGTGCTGTTTTAATATACTTATCACGAATTGAGAATGATAAATTTACACTCTCACTAGTGGCAAAGGTCATCTTCGGTATGATATGCTCTGTTTTTAAGACAATGTCATCCTGGTGAAAGTTCGGATTTTGGTCCTTCAAGTTTTATTGTCTCGTAAAGGACTTGAAACTCAAAACACTGACTAAGCCCGGCTATTTTTGTTGACTGGGCTTCTGATATGGACACATGACAAAAGCAAAATAAAAACATAAAACGCAAGGGACCAAACGCGTGAGAGGCCGTGACCATAAAAGAATTCTCATACGGATGAAGGAATAGGTTATGATAAGAATTTGGGTATTATGCAAAAACCCATACAGAAACTAAGCACAAAAATTAGACTTTTGAACTAGCACCTCAAAAAAGAAAAAAGAAACGTACCAACGTAAAGCCCCGTGACTGTGTTTCTTGCTCCCACATTTATGTTGTCTTCAAACCTTTCCTCCTCCTCTTGTGCTGGTTGCTCTTTCTTCCTTTAGAAAACTCTTACATAAATGTTTTCTAGAGTGTGACAATAAGAACAAGAGAGTAGCCTCAAAGGTACAAGGAAGTAGAAGTCATTGGGGTGTCTGTTGGGAGTGATGATGCAAGCAGGAAGAAAATGGAAATTGAAACAGGGGTTCACATACATCCTTCTCTTCTTGCTGTCTTTTGGACATCAAGGATTATAATAAATGTTGTTTGAAGCAGTTTGTTTTCAAATGTCAAATCAGTATTGGGTTTCTACTTTGGGGGCATTTGTTTAATGATTTTCGAAGTTGAGGGAAGGTCTAGAAGCAAGGGAACGGTTAAGCCGCTGTTTCTGACCGGTTCAGTACGGAGAGAGCCGCAGCAGGTCTGGTATGGAAAAGTTGTGAGAAGTTATAGAAGAAAGAATAGGAGGTTGCTTGGTAATAGATCATACACAAAGTTGAGTGTTGGTTTAGGGTTGATGCTAAATGCTTGGGAAAGGAGTTTTAAGAGCAGGGAGGTTTTGGGAATGCCAAAAAACAAACATAGGTGGTCATGCTCTGTTCACCTCTGTTTTGAAAATAAAAAACAGAGCTAAGCCAAAAAAGTTAAAATCACTGCGACACCCTGTGGGTTATCAATGAGTTCAATTTCTCTATCTCGAAACGATAAAGAGGCAGTTGGCTACGGACCCAATAAGTTGTCGCAGCTTACAGAGGAACTCAGACAAATTTGCTAGGTATTTGTTGTAATTTTGACACGGGGCACCATCACGAAAGGATCAACATTACATTGATGGTAATTTTGAGAATAGCTCAAGGAACAAAAGAAATCGGACTGAACACTGAACCGGTTGAAATAGTAGTTTAAAAGTTAGATCGGGATCAACCTGATCAAATTAGTCATATTAAAATAATATAATTTGATTGAAAATAATAAAATATAACAATACTAATAATCACTAATAATAAAATATAAGAAAATATAATAATAAAGTGTAATAATACTGAGAACTTTGGTCTTTATGATTCTTAAATAACTAAAATTAATAGTTATTGATATCAAAATTATTGTTAAAATTCATTTAAATTTATAATAACAGAGATATTAAGAGCTGAATGAGAAAAAATATGACAAATAGCAATATAATTATTCAAACCGATTTATTACCGATTCACACCGATTTTTACTAGTCTTTACTAGTTCACACTGGTTTGATCGATTCAATCCAATTCAAACCTGTTCCTAATTTAATCTATGAACCAGACCGGATCACTGACCAGTTCACCGGTTTTTCGGTTGAACCAGCAGGTCCGGTCACTTTTTCTTTTTTTTAATTCTGGGATACCTCCAAAATCCAAAGTATCATTATAAAGGTGACAAAAGGTAGTCCAAAAAAATCAATAATGTTATGTTCTATATGTATACCCGAAACAATTGGATTCGATGTAATTATGTTGCGCGATTCAGTTTGCTCCTAGCCTTAATTAAAGTGGTTCATTATGGGCTTCCCTGGTTGCATTTTATGTTTCTATATTTTTGTCACATATCCAGGTCAGAAGCCAAGTCATCAAAATCACCCAGTCCTCTTGCCCAGTCAGCAACTCAGATTAGCAATTTTAACAGCGTTAATGCCTCATTATCAAATTTTAACTAGTTTTTATAACAACAGGGTGTGGAAATATGGTCGTCATCCTGTTAAATCAAGTTTCTTCTCATATATAATTTTAATAAAAATAAGATGTAAGTTAAAAAAAATAAAAAATTCACCCCATTTCTTTAATTTTTTATACTAAAATTTTTCCTCTCCCCCCTGTTATTTTCCTCGTACAGGACAGAGACTAAGAAAACCGCATTAATCTATATTTAGTACGTGCTTATTATACTGTGGTGATGAGAATTAGATTGGAATTAAATTAAATGTGGTTAATTTACAATTTTTAAATAATGAATTATCTCTTTTGTAGAGTGATAGACAGAAAATTGTCTTTATTTTGAGTTATATGCCTATTAAAATAAATTATTATTAAATTTACAGCTTTCAATTTCGTATTAAATTAAGTCATTTTGTATTTCAGCTAATTTTATATGGTCTTTTGCCATTCCAACCCAATTTAAAGAATTATGGGATGAATTCTTTTGTCCACAAATTTTGGTAAAAAATCAATTATTTACCATTTAATTTTTCCAAATTTTGTATAATTAATATTTTTTGGAGAACGTTAGTGGAAATTTTGAATAAATTGAAGGGCACAGTAATATTTCAATATATATTACATTCCTTCCAAATATATTTACAAGAAATAAATAATTGCTTGCTATAAACATCACCTCAATTCATCAATAGAGAGGGTTGTTCAAATTCACTTTCCTAATTCATCTCTTTTCAGAT